AATCCTTCTTAATCGAAAACGCATTTCAGAATTTCAGCCAACATTTCATGAGATCGGTCACTTACTGTACATCGCAGTTTTCGCTGAGGAAGATGATGATGAAATAGGTATGCAGTTGATTCATAGGTTAATTCATCTATGAAGTATACCGTTAATTCTACAGTCCTTCGGTCCCGGCCTGAGAGGATGTTCGCCCATTGGGTCCTGGCACGTACTCGTCCAGTTGCGTTGTTTAAGCCAATGACTAATGGTCAAACAATCCGCGACCTATCCCCCCTGGACTGTCCGAACCGGTCTTTCGAATCTTTCCGCTGGGTATACAGTTCGTGATCTAACTCATGAAAGGTGTCGAAATTTACGAATGACTGCTAGTCATTCGCAAACCGACACGAATGTGTGCCCAATATCTATATTACTAAATTAAAACTTTAAGGGAATTAAAAACAAGAGAAATGTTAAAAGCAATGTAGCGTTATTTGAAAATGTCATTTTTTAAACGGCGGAAAACCGCAAGAAGATTAAAAATGGCTGTATTTATAGAAACTTCAGTTTTATGTGTACATAATGCCTGTTAATGCAAAAACCTAAGTAATTACGACAACGCAAATAGAATAACGTTTGACAATAGTGATTTAGTGTAGTTTACATTCAAATATCCTTAAAGTATTAGTGTTATTTCGGGTATAACGGTTTTCCTACAGTCTACACTATAAGTATAGATTCCAAAACGGTTCCCGAGGATATGTAGTATTCTTTACGCTTTTGTATTGATCTGGATGCGGTTCAATAAGGCAAACAGAACTTTGTTTGATTTCGTCGATAGGGACGCCCTACGATTATGAATATACAGCAGAGTGGTCATATAACTACTGATATTTGGCTGAAACCACCGATGTGATGCTCGTTCCATCTCTGAATTACGTGTATACAGAAGCTAGACCACACGAAAAGTAACGTTCCTATATCAAAATTGAAAATGACTATTCGGTGTTGACCATTTCTGTACCAATAGGTAGAATTTTTCAAACGGCAAAACAATTTCGGCCCATTTAGAAGAAGGACCGCCTGTGTGCGTTATTGCTGTAGTTTAGGGCACCAATTCGCACAGATTTGCTAACCTGACCCTTGAAAATTGATAAGATTCTTGGGTTTTCAAAAATGACCTGCGTGTCAGCAAACTGATTCCCACGGTTAGCGTCGGCAAAAAATCAAGTTTCAAGTGCGGAAAGCTGTGTCTAGTAAATCTCTTGAGAGAATAATTAGTCTTCTGTCTAGGAAAAACATTCCCAGATGCGAAACCGAAGACTAGGACAGGTACTGGTATAGGAAATTACCCGAATATATCGCAAAGTTCATTCTTGCTCAAATTTATGAACATTTTGCTTTATACAATTAGGCGAACATACTTTTCAGCACAAGAAAAGGACGATCGAGCAAAATGCTCAACGTTCAGGAAGTCCGAAAACTCTTAGATTAGTTTCTATTATAAGGTTTTATGTGAAAGGTCACGTACTGTATGTCTACATTTAGTTTAGGAAGGTTTGTCCAACAGGTTATGCCGGTTTGACTTCGTTTCACATTGACGGAGATCTGACTCAAAAGGCGTCCGGAATTCATAAATATAAGGTCGTTGGACACACTTTGGTCTAACTGTGGCTGCTCATACGCAAGAAGGGGGAAATTGGTTGCTACACCCTCAGAATGCTGGCACTTAAAGGTCCAAAGAGCAGGATGATACTCTAGAAGAAAGTCTCAAAACTCTGACGGAAGGTTTCCGAAGTACAACGAAAATTTCGTTTTTGAAAGGTTTGAGCGACGAAGACAGGAAGTTAAGTGACTCTTCTCTCCCCCTGGGAGCTGTGACCAAACTTAAATCCAGCTCGAACCTTAACACAAATCGCAACCTTAACCCTAATATTTAACTCATCGCTAACCTTGAGCCCAACGTTAACTGTTAGCTCAATCTCACTTGTAACTCTACAATAACATGCCTACACAGATAAAATAAGTAGGCATGTTCTATGTATAAAGACGAGTTTAAGCTTCGCACGCCATCCCCACCCACCCGCACATCTCTCTACTCTGCTAAGAAGATACCATATAGGACTCTGAAAATCTTGCAAGGTATGCTCTATAAGGGGCCTTAATAAACTTACAGAAACGATGCTGTGTGGATGGACATTTCACGATCTTCAAAATCCCATAATTGTAAACTTTTCTAAACCGAAATATACACTTTATTCAAGTCCAAAATCTGAAGACGTGATTTCTTACCAGATAAATAGAGGAGAAAGTTTTTCATGCGTTTTCCCGCAAAATATATTTGCATTTTTAGGAGTATTTAAAATAAACGTGAAAAATGTATGCTACTTAAGCAGCCACTTTCGTGGAGTGTCGTTTTTAGAGGCGACCGAAAAGAAGCGCATTCAGAAGCGGGCTCTCTGTATTGACTGAACTGGTTTGGGATCACGCTGCGTGTTAATCATTATTATACCCCCCTAAGTAATCCCTTTTAATCGAAAACACTTTCAAGAATTTTGATTAATATTTAATGAGATAGGCCAACAATTGTATAGTTGAAGTTGATTGACTTCGATTCAAACGTTCTTTGGAATTTCGGGTCTGAACCCACAGAGTCCTACCCCGGAGACTTAATCCCATGTCCTACACTGAATAATTTTTGGAATGAGTATCTTTATATATATATATATATATATATTTTGTAAGAAGCTAACTATGAGTGCAACGGGCCGGACGCAGACAGCTGTTTTACGGTCGTTTCCGATAATCGATAGGTCATGGGCTTTCTGAAGTGATGTGCATAAACATGTCAAATAAGTGTATGATCCCCACATGTATATGCATATGCAGGACTGCAATTCTGTCTTTCCGACTTATTAGTTACAACACAGTATGATAGAGGGCAACAAGCTGCACTAACTCCTGCAGTATCAGTTTATTGTCGCCCCTTTAGCGCGCTGAAATCTCCGTTAGGTTCGGCCCCCCGTCATGCGGTCATCTGAAGGCACTGTCGTTCGCACATTCAATCGGGACACGAATATGCGTAGGGGATGACTTGCGCAGCGCCCAACGCACTCTGTCTTCCACACCCACCCTGATCCAACGATAAAATGGGGACAAGATGACTGAATATAATCTCCGGCGCAGTACTGATCGGGCGCTTTTCCCTTCTACGCTAGTTCGAGCACCGCAAGCAAACTGAGGTTGTTTAAAGTGGAGCGGACTTTCGGTGCATCTGGTTCACTTCATTCCTACCCCACCCAGCATATTTCCATGGTGAGAGAGTGTCAAGACGATTGTAAATGAATGTGGATAGAGTGACTAAAAGGTTTGATAATTCGTCTACGCGTTCCACACACGACCAGGCCACTTCCTCTGCACGTGTCAGCACCTGGTCAAGGAGTTCCTACAGTAGGTGGACCAACTAATGAAATGTCAACAGAAATTCCGAAATGCGTTTCCGTTTCGAAAAGGTTAATTAAGTTGGGTTCAAAACCAATAATCTTACAGCAAAATTCTATAAAAAATCAGTTACCGCAAGACGCTGGCTTTCGAACAAACTTCTTTTCGGCTGCATCCACAGAACATACTCTGTAAAAAATGACTTCCTATGTAGCACGCATCTTTTCATTGATTTTCGATGCCCTTAACGATTCAATCATATTTCATGGAAAGCATACATTGAAATATTCATTTTTTTGATCATTTAGTAAAAATTACGTCTCCCTTCAATTTCACACTCGAAGGAAGGGTTTAATTCGGTTTTTAAAAAGTTTCTAGTTGTGAGATTTTTTAATACCGTGAAATGGCCCTTCGTAAAACGTCATGTCTCTGCATTTACCGATGTGGCTCAAATCCACTGCTTAATTTTATGAACCCTATATCGTCTCCCTTTATTTCTGTAAATAACTATATGGTTTTCCGTACGCGGAAATTATACGGCTTGTAGTTTGGGAACCCTGAATGCAAGTGTAAGGCAGGTTGGGTTCAAAATTATTAGGGAATCGAAAAAGTTTTATAAAACCAAATTATACCCTTCTTTAGAGTATAAAATTTAAAAAGCCGTAATTTCCTACTGAATGAGCAAAAGAATGAATATTTTTGTGCATCTTTTTCATGAAATATAATTGAATATCAATAAACAGTGCATGCTACATAAGTAGTCATTTTTTACGTAGTACGGTCTCTGCATGCAGCTGAAAAGAAGTTCATTCGAAAGCTGACATCCTGGGGTAGCTGAGTTACTACAGAATTATGCTGCAATATGTTTGGTTTTGCAGCACTACTTAATCATTACTTTAGAAACGAAAGCGCATTTCGGAATTTCTGTTGAGATTTCATGAGTTAGCCCACGTACTGTACTTATACGCTTCATAACGTGGGCTTTTTCCTCAATCGGTACAGACAAGATCTCGTTCGCACTGGTATCATCTCGGTGACAATTTTCGTAAAACCATGTTAAGAGGGAGCCCCTACAACCTAGTTGCCAATCCAAAGGACAAAGTTCTTTAGACAAGACAGGCGTACTGCCCCCTAATGGGATAACAATGACAGAGAGTGACACGACAGGCCAGTGATAATGTTTACCTGAGCAAACTAAAAATCGTGGGGCTTAAAGTCGTTGAAACGACTTAGGCTCCCCAATCTCTCATCTCTCACATTCGTGCTGGTCCCTCCGGTGACTCAAATGATGATTCCATGTGCCTTGAGTAAGAGCTCTAAAAGACTTCTTATATGATCCAAAAAACACAAATCTCAGTCGGTGTTGTACACCCAAAGGAGCATTTATTTTGACACTGGGAAGCTCCACAAAGTAACAATTTAAAGTCGGCCGATCGTGGACATCTCTCTTTCTCTTGTCTTGTAATACACATCTCCACAGAGGCGAATTTGACAGAAGTGATCTGCACAGAAAAACATCTCCCAGAGGAAGGCGGGACGCATGGGCGTGTGATGAGACAGAGACACTAGACGTTTTTTTAAATGCCCTTCAGCAGAGCACCATTGAATGAGTAATCGCGATCAGCAAGAGTGAGCTTGCGCGGAGGTCGGAAGGCCGAGAAACATCCAAACTCCTGGTCCCTGTAGTTAAGACCCAGGCCCTCACCGCGCACTCGAATGTAATCATAGCCGAGGTCAGCCAGCAGATGGACAGAGGCCGAATTGCGCAGAGTCGTGGTGGGGCACACTGAGGGCACACTGAAGTAGAGGATGTCGTGATCACGCGTGTACGGCAAGGAGCCCGGAGGGGGGTCAGAACCCTCGTTAGCCTGTCTGCCACACAGTACCAGCCGGACTGACGGGTACTGCATCAACAGCCGGAGGATCTCCCTCCAGTTCAAAACCAGAGTGGACCGGTCTCGAACTAGCATTGGATGCAGAGGCGCGTGACCTTAAGAGCACAGAAAGAAATTTCTGATACTCGTGCGCCAGTGAGCGTGGTCCTATTAATTATTAGTCGAAAAGTCAAGAGTGGTTCATGTGGATAAAGATAAAAGCACGATCTGCTTGGATATGAATGAGAAAATAAGGGGATCCCATGAGGCGTATGCATGTTCTTCCTACCTATCGAAATTCAACAATTTTCCATTGTCCGGGGAGAGGTAATATCATTAAGTTCAGTTTTGTTAAGGGAAAGGTAGGCAAATGCCTTTGAACTCCCTATTGGTTACAATATTGTCGCAAGAAAACCAATGCAGATTGGTCAAAAAATTACATGCAGCAAGCACGCAACTGTCTGGTAAATACTAGTGTCAATGCATGCAGGGTGAGGCAAAGTTGTGAAATTATCTAAAGGCGTTACTGAGATGTGTCAAGTAGCATGGAAAAAAGAACTTAAATTTCAGCTGGAATGCTTTGAGGGATCCTAGCGGCGCTCACCGCTGCGCTGGCATATTGCTCAGAGAATTGAATCGGAAAGGTCAGCAGCGGATTACGGACACGCCTAAACTAAATTACCGGTCAGTGGGTAGGATGCGTCACTTGTCTTTGACGGAATAAAAGCATGCAAGCTTTTGGGTATGCCGGAGTCACTGATCGAGAGAACGACCGAGTTATTGGGGAGACGATGGAGGCTAGAAATGAAAACACAACGTGAAGAAGGAGACACGGTTGTTGGAACAAGAGTTTTATTCGCCTGACGCTCCAGCTGAGACTAAACCTGGGCGGGACGCATAGGGGAACACTACTCCCAACGCCAGAGTCGGTGGGCTTGATGGTCGAGAAATCATCCCGCCAACATTCAACATTCGGGATGAAATCACGAAGACTTATAACACGAATGTCGGACATCGAAAAATCGCCATAACAAGTGCAGCGAGCCCTGATGAAGACGGAAGACAAGGATTTTCATACGTATGCGGTAGCATGGTGACTGCATCCTATGAGTACTTCAGCGCCTTATGTATGAACTATCCGTATCTGTTGTTGTTTCTGATGACGGGCATCGGGCAGGAAATCGAAAGGTCAGACGAACAAAATTCTTGCTCCAGCGATCGGGGCTCCTTCTTCACCACTGCTTCCTGGGACTCGTCTCTTCGCTTCTATACGCAAACACAACTTCTAAGGCCGTAAGGTTATCCCCTCCGTGGCGTGCCTGACTACGAACACCCCTCAGCCAAAGGAGCTGCATTGCTCAGGGCAGGAAGTAGAAAGGCACGAGTTTCAGCACCAATGCAAACAATGACATGGCAGTGAGTTGACGCTTCTAAAATGAAGGTAAATTTTACTGACAAGGTCATGAATCAGCCATATTCCGATTTCGATTATGGACTAGGCATTGTTATGTGACCGCTGATACAAGAAAACGCTAAATCGCCCTTGTTCCGTTCTGTGGTTAAAATGATTAAAGAATTTTATCGGCAAACGCACACAGCCTAGGGGGTCCATTCCCACCCTGTTGACTGTTATTGGTCAACCAGGGCCGCGTCCAAAGGCGGGCGGTTGAACCGTCGTACTACGGACATACACGTTGTCGGTCACGATGAAGCGTTCACATTTATTTGGAAACGGCAAAGTCCTACTTGGATTCATACCGAGGCCAGGCGGGTTAATAATACCACCCAAGTTAAAAGAAACGCTCCAGTTTGTCTGGCCTGGTCGGTAAATTTTTTTAAATATAGAACTTGTCCTGCCTTAATTGGCTCCAGCACTGCTATTAACACCACCCTGGCAGTTTAAACTCGTGTTTTTCTGCCGAATTTGAGTTTACTACGGATTATTAGACCAGGGAGTAACCCTCTGACGTTATTTTCTAAGGTGTGTTGGGGTGTTTAACTTGATGTAACCAAGCGACGAGAATAGGTGATCCGTGCGCTACCGTCATCGGGTCAGATCCCAAGTTAAAGGGAGACGGCTGAAGGGACCAGTTTGCGGGGTTTATTATGCACATAATCCGGAGTTGCCCTCTCAGGCGACAGTGGCCACTGGCGAAGCCAAGGCTGGTGTTGACTGCGTCCGGTCGGGCCTGAGAGTCCCTGAGATAGTGGTGGCAGCCGCTTTTGTAGGCTCGTGGGCCAAGCTCCAGTGGTGTCCAGTCAGCGTGTGTTGCATTTGCCGAGGGGTGGTGCACCAGTGGCTTAGGTTGTGGTTGCAGGGGGGAGGTGCCTTCAAGTGGCAGCATGGGCAGCTGCGGCTGTGCGGCCGCAGGTGTACCCGAACTGTCGGTCGTGTGACTTCAGGTCAGCGCGCCTGGAACGGCTCTCTGCAAAAAGGTGGATGACCTTGAGGCAGCGAGGTCTTGAACAATGAGGCCAGACCGGCCATGATGGCTGGCCGCTACAAACTCTGTGGCAGCAGGGCGTTCACCGATCAGATTACGGGATATGATCCCCCGGTTGGGCTTTAAGTGTCAATCTAGAGCGTTTGTAGGCACTCTTATAGTGACCAGGAATATATGCATAGGAGAATACCGATAAAAGGCAAGAGAGAATGGGATGACCATTTTTGGCTTATCCACTGTCGCCATCCACGCACAGGATAGTCAGTAGTTCCGGCCGCAGTAAAAAGGGCAGCATACCCGTAGGCCAATGGTGAAACATTGGACTTTAAAGCGCGCACTGAGCAAAGAATCAGGGGTTCGAATGCCAGATCAAGACTGCAGTCCTGCAGTTGGGCATGGTTGGCTGACGGCAGCAAGTGGTCATTCCAGCTGCCGGTATTCGTTCACATATTGATCCCTTCGTCCACAGTCGAACCAAATACTAGAAGGCAATAAAATCTGCTGGCTAATACTGCGCACCGCACCAACGCCATTTGGTGTGTCATTTAAGGACGCGCCATCTGCACACTTTTCGTGTTCATTTTGATCAACCTGACAGATCTCTCGGAATGAAAAACTTCACCACTCCTGAGTGGGTAATGTTGATTGACCACCGCGAGGATGTTTGTTTTGATCACTGTCAACCTTATTTTACGACAACAAGACTGAGCTGCACATGGATTCTCGTAACTTGCTGAAGAGACCGTCTGGTCTGTTGCCCATGCACGACTTGTTTACTAAGTCGGCTAACATTACCGACAAAGACAAGGGAGACTGGAATGATCATTTCTGGCTTATTAACCGTTGCCAGCCAGCCATGTCCAATCCCGAAGTGCGGGACGGCTGGGACTCGAACTCACGACCTCTTAGTTAGAAGTCCACGCCTCTAACCACTGAGCAACGGACTCATTGTCCTGTCGGTTTCGATGGGGAATATACAATGGTAGCGGGGAGCTCACCGATGGTTTACGAAACATAATTGTCCCGTTGTGCCTTAGGGCCCTCTCTCGAGCCCAACCAGCAGCCGCACAGTGGCGCATGATATATAGGCAGAATGATATTACCGACAAAGACAAGGGAGACTGGAATGGCCATTTCTGGCTTATTAGCCGTCGTCAGCCAGTCCTTTCCAACCCCGAAGTGTGGAACACCTGGGGCTCGATCCTAGGACCTGTTAGTTAGGAGTTCGACGCCTCTAACCAACCCCAGGTGTTCCACACTTCGGGGTTGGGTATGACTGGCTGACGACGGCTAATAAACTAGAAATGGTCATTCCAGTCTCCCGTGTCTTTGTCGGTAATAACATTCTGCCTATATCATGCGCCGCTGTGCGGTTGCTGGTTGGGCTCGAGGGGGAGTCCATAAGGTACAACGGGACGAGCGAGTTCCGTAGGGCGATCGATGAGGGCCCTTCTACCATTGTTTGCTAGGTGCCGACTAAATTCCTGCCAGAATTTTGCAAGCCAAAATCGGCCATCTTGCATAGGTCAATATACCCAATCACAAGCCGACAGGACGACGAACCCGCAGCCCCGTGGTTAAAGCGTTGGGCTGCTAACCACCAGTACGCATGTCCGAACCTCAGGAACTTTGTATAATTGTCTGGCGACGGCTAATAATCTTCGAATGCCTATCCCAGTTTCCATTGTCTTTGTCAATATTACTTCAAACTTTAACCTCCTCGTCCACTGTCTTTATCGTTAGTTAGTGGTGATTAATATACCATCGCCTTTGTGTGCAGCCTTTCCGTGTGCCTTTCAACCTGGCAGACAGATTTTCTGGACTGAGAAGTCCAACTACTCCTAAGCGAAGGGAGTACATTGACCACCGGGAGAATATTTGTGCTGAGAACTGTCAACTTCGTCTCACGACAACAAAAGTGGGTCGCGACTTTGTTGTTTGACAGCAGACTTTTGCGGTTTCCTGAAGAGACGGTTTGACCTGTTATTCCAGTTGCATAATTTCTCCCGACAATGCTTCTCAACTACGTGCTGACCCAATTCCTGCCAGGATTTTGTTGATTGGATTTCCAGACGGAAGTGGCGGCTCCTGGCTTTTGCCAAATTCTCTTTAGACCAGTTTGTTTACAGGCAATTTGAGAAACTACTTATGTTCACCTTTATATGAGAGTGGTAAGTTGTGAATATGGGGGATAATAAGAGGCTGTCAGTTCAGAGTCGATCAGGTAGAGAATATCACTGTGGACAGTCGTCCCTTATTAACGTAGCCATCATTGAACACCCATAAACTTGATACCCATGCCGCCCTTACAGATGGTCCGGTATATGTACTACTAACCAGATCGTGTGGCACGCGTAGTCGGACGGTTAAAAATTCGTCACCACTGCGTTTGTGGTCCCTTTCTGTTGCCTTGACACTGCCTAGCCACAAAAGCTTAGTAAATGAGGGAGAAGGAGGTACGGTAGATGCTGCGCAAGTCTGCCTCGTCGTAAACTAATTGAAGTGCAGGTTACCGACACTCGCCTACTCCGAGTGACCACACTGTGGGGGCCGTTGCTCGCGACGGTCCAACTCACAAATGCCATATAAATCACTCACAAGCAATCACCACATTCTGGTTATTGTGCATGCAACTGAGTAGGGATTCTTCCAGCCAACGCAACTGGCTCTTAGAGACAGCTGTCCGAAGTCTGGGCATTGAGGTCTTCTCACCCGCCGTCAGGAAGTGGCCCTTAGCCTGCATCTCTTGAGGCCATCCCACTCGAGCTGAATTGGCGTCCTCGTGCATGGAACACTGTTAGCAAAAGGAAACGATGATCTTTTAAATAGAATTCTCAAGGTTAGGTGATACAGTCATGGGTAAGGCTTAGTTAGGAGAGCGTTTGACTCTCGTCCAAAGGTCTGTAGGGGTAAAAGTAACCCTCTTGAGCTCAGACGAGGTCCTATAGTACAGGAAAGGTTTACCGTGAAAGCGCAAATTAAGCAAAATCATGAGTGTGCGAAGGGGCTTCAAACAAAGGCAAGAGAGACCAGGATAGCCATTTTCGACATTTTTACCCGGACCCGTGTTTTCAAAACCCGAGGTTTTAACGCGCGTTCTTTGGTTATTGGACGTTAAAATGTTCAACGTCCAAACCACTGAGCCACTGGCTAGTTGTCCTGGTGGTTGTGTTCGGGCATATTAACTGTAGTAGAAGGGCCCACCCCAATCAGCTTACCGGACATGCTTGTCCTATTTTGTCTAGGGGCCCTCAAAACGGGCCACGTGTTAGATGCGCTGGACCAACACGGGGGCCAAATCGGACTCTGGCAGGCGTTATCTGTGCGCAATAACAAATGCCAACATTCCCGGGGTGCGCTGGCAGACCCTGTTGTCGGCATTCGTCGCACAACTGGACCACTGCCTCCACCCCATTGTTTTGTGGTCAAAATCCTGGTCTTGGTGTGTGGACCAGGGGTGCGGAGTGGAGCGCCAAGGCGAAGATCCGTCCGAGCCATCCACCTGCGGCCTCCCCCGTCTCCGGTCTTCTTGACTCTGTCTTGACACCGGGCCCAGGCGGGGGAGGAGGAGAGAGTGTAGGTAGATGTTAGGCAAGTCTACTGGCACTATAAACCCCTGCGTAAGTCACCGTCCCTGCTCCCACAATGCAGTCTGTGGGGCACACGGTGGTCATCGTCGAAATCGACGGACGAACTGTCAGGGGCCCAGTCACAGAACGCAGGTTCGAACCTCAGGTCCTGGAAAAATTGAGATTAACTAAGGTTGCCTAGCGGTGGCCGGTAAGTCAGAAAGGATCATCCTGGTCTCCGTTGTTCTTTTCGATAGCCCTTAGTTTCTACGCGACCGCCGGTAGGGGCCCCGGATTGAGCCCCAGGGCACAGGGGGAAGCGGGTATCCTGCTACCTTATCGTTGTGCGCCCTCCAATAGAATCATGAGCGGAAAGAAAGAGGAGATGACATCATTAAAGGTGCTCTATCTGTGATAGACTTGATTGGCACGTCCCTTATCACGTTCCCCTATAAATCTGCCGAAAAAAAACAGTTAAAACAGCTGAATAACCTTTCAGAATCTACAATAGACTGAGATGATCATTTCTGTAGTTAGTTATTGGCGCAACCGTAGCATTCATATAGCCGCTGTCTAGACTAAAGGGGCGGCCTCGATGAAGAGTGACCTTTCTACAAGTTTGGAGAATCTCCATTCATTTCTGGTCGCTGAAAAAAATCATCAAAGACTGATCTTCTGTCCAGTTTTATTTAGCGGCAGGAGCGCAAATGACATTGTATACAGACTCTAAAGGGCTAATTTTGTCTGCTTTTACAGCGAAAACTTACACTTGGGGAGAGAGAGGCGGAGTAAAGGAAGCAACTCACTGTGATGCGACGTAATCAACTGCCAATGATGCCTAAAACTGCATCATGATGATCCCTGGAATCTTTAGTTCCTCTTACACTGTTGCAGTACTGTGAGTCTTATGGTATAATAGATCATTTCGTTGATCAATTCTAAGAGAAGTGTCTCCACTTTTGTCTTATATTCTCCCGTTGAAATCTCAGCATGGTAGGTCTTCTGGTTCGAGTGTCAGGTGCCTTAAACTATCATTGCTCTGTTAATCAAACTGAGAACACACATTACACAGTCGATACTCGTTTGGCTGAACAAAAAAGATCCTTCAATGAGCACAGTAAAATATATCTGATTAACTAGCTATTACTATTAGTCGGTCTGAGGAGGGTACGATAGGCTACCTCCTAGTAACTAGCCATCGGAACTCACCTTCCGTCCTGATGCGTCACGAACTGGAAAATTGAGGCGAAACCCATCTCCAGTTTCCTCACTACTCGTGCTACTGTTTGCACAGAGTTCTGACTTCTTGGGATCCACGACCAACAGTTCATAACCATCGATTACAATCAGTGTGTACTCGCGACCAATTGGTACCTGGCGTGAAGAAACAATGATAGAGTTCATGTCGTAGTAAGGGTGTTTGTCAAATCAAGGAATTTCCCTTGCCAGTTAAGATAGAAGCAGAAGTCTCAGTATGCCAATACATCATGTTTTTCGTAATTTCCAGACTAGGAAAAAAGTCGCCACTTCTTATAACAAGTGTTCAGGATAAAGTCCTTCAAAGCCGAAAAGACTCTTTGGCGAGCATATGGTTGGTTTCGGCAAATTCGCGTCAGATCAGGACACATATAGGGAAACGACGTGAATGAAAACATGTTTGCAGTTAGGGCAATCGTCTTATTTACATCTTTTCACAGATGGACAATATTGTGAATATGGTAGGATAATCGGCAAGGGTATGGCTTACGACGGGGTTACTTACTTGGGGGGAGCAATCGTGTTGAAAAAAGAGCCGAACATCCAAGAACTTCGTGGTATCACAAATTCTGATTGCCCATACTGTCCCCAATCAAATGAGGGCACTATTTTCACTATTAAGTGATAATAGTAAAAAAGTTTAGTGCCCATTTGAAAGCACTGTCAAAAGGCATTTCATTGTCGTATTTTTACTCCGGTGAATACCTTAAAGCTTCTTGACCAACCTAACGCTTTTCATTCCTTTCTCCGGCACCTACAAATAAATATCGTAACTCACTGAATTTTAGCACAATTGCTCCCCGAATAAGTGACCCAGGGAGTAAACCAGACCCTTACCGGATAATCAAAAGTAGTTAGTAGATGACACATTGCCCTCGGGCATTCACTCACCACATGGCCTTATTCTGCCAAATGGGTATCCCTGGCGGCAGAATTCACACTCATGACAACACGCCGAGCACACCTCACAAATTGGACAACTATCCCATCTCCAGCACTGCAAACTTCCCATCCAGCAGCGCGGCCACCACCAGAACAATCACGACTGCAACAGATTCAGCGGTTTCCATCCTATCCTGTCCATACTGGCAACGCACATGCACCTCACGCATCGGCCTGGTCGGTCACCTGTTAGTCCGTCGCACTGAGACTGGCGACCCATTGTCAGAAGTGCAAAAATACACCCGTCGCCATTGTCCCGACTGTCCGCATTGTTCACGCACGTTCAGTCATCGCACTCGGTCACATGTGTCTCCATACTGATTCGCGGTAAACCGCCGCAAGCCAAACTCTGCCACCATATACACCACACACGAACCCCTCCGACGTCACCCATCAAAAGCATGAAACAGGCGCCTCCGGCTTGAGTGCTGAGTGTCATCTACGACTCCTGCCCCATGTGGCTCTTATGCTACTCCAGCGTGTGTATGCTACGTGCAGTCCACCTTTATGTGAAATCCGGGTTTGTTGCACGAGGATCCATATGGTGTGTGACACATGAAAACGCGATTTTTTTACTTTTGTTAGCCACCTCTCCCAGTCGAAGCATCACTTGGTTGACCGTTGCGGACAATAGGCTGAGTCACAGGATTGGAGAGGGAGGTTGATGATCTCAGCACATATCTCTTAATAGCTCCTTCTTACCATGACACTCGCACTCAGACGGGACCTTAGTGACTCCTTGTTTATGTGAAAACCCGATCCACCGCACACGCAATGGGTCGTGTAGGACACGTGTTGCGGACTGCTTAGCACTGTCAACCACTGAGCCCCATCCTGCCTCTGGTCTGCTTGACTCTGTCTGGACACCGAGCCCACGTGGGGAAAGAGGAGAGAATGGGATAGGTTTTGCTCAGGTCCGTGATCACTATGGGCTATATCGCGTGAGAGACGCCATCCCTACGCCTATCATGCTGTAGCGTATACGGCGGGCAACGTCGGAATCGACAGTCGAGCTGCCGTTTAGCACGTGAGCTCCGACTGTCTAACTTTTTTCAATCAATGAGCCCGCGCTCATCATCAATCGTCCTAGCACTGTCTTACTATCGAAGGGAGGTGGGTGAGGGAAGAGGAAGTACGGTAGATGCTGTGCAAGTCAGCCCCACGGTAAACTAATTCCCGCTCAAGTCGCAGATGTCGCGTGCGCCAGGTGGACGCTGCTGTTCGCAACGGTCAAACTGTTAGAGATTAGAGGGTTGAGAATAGGCACTTCGACAGCGAGGTGGCAAGAAAGCGCTGATACCTGCGTGAATTAACGACAGGTTAACTAGTTTTGGCCAGGGCAAATTCAAAGCCCGCACGAAACTCTTCTGCGAACACAAGACCGGCTCGCGTAACCTGACTGCGGCCGTCTCTTAGGTTACAAGCAGACACTGTCCTCACTGGTTTTAGGTAAACGTGATTGAGACCTCGTCCGTGTGACCTCCAAAATCAACCACAAATGCAGAGATTATGTGGTTGATTTCGTTCCTGGTTTCGCCCTTTTTTAGACATGGTGGGAGATGTTCGGATGTTCTTTTTGATATGTCCTGACTCGTGTGACTCAAAGTCCCTTTGGGTCAGTATTTACCAGCTCAACCTGAGACGGAAAACAAACGCACTGTCTTGTCTAGCTGTTTCGAACCAGAGCCCCTACAAACCCTCGCAAGGTACGACATGCCCTTTTTGGCAGAGAAGGGGCAGCCTGGTTTGACTCATTGTCGCAAATCCACGAGGAGGAGAAGTTGAAGTCTGAAATCCGGTCAAGTTGGCCAACAGACTGCGTGATTAACCATTTGAGTCACCCTCCCCTCTCCAGTCTTTAATCTCGTGTTTGTCTTGGGCTCAGCAGGTAGCCCAATTATGGGCTGAACACTGGGCTTCGTGTCAAAAAATTTAAGCGCGCCTGACGGAGAAAGTGGTCATTTTGGTCTTGTTGTTCTCATCAGTCCAATAAAACGTTGACCAAATAGTCCATCAGTCTGGTGTCTGCACGACGGGATCAACAGAACGATATGCGTAAACCTGAAGTCCTATATGTGGATTGAGTGTGTCCAGTTTTTGAGTCCTTCGATAGCCCAAACAAAGAACCCGTTAGCAACGAACAAATCTTTATAATAGTTCGAAGAATGGGTCATCTTATTCCCATTATCTTCTCTCAACTGAAACATGAGTCTCTTGGATATCTTATCTAAGCGTCCCAGGTCATTTATGTCAAAGCATTTATTTAACAAGTATCATACTTCTGAACAGGTCTGCCTGACGTAGCTTTGGCAAGTAGATTTAATACGAGGGTCTTCCAACTCATTGGCCACATTTCTTTTATCCTCATATTTCCTATCCTTGAAATGTCATTCGCCGCATTTGATTCAGCAATTATGCATACCACATATTAAAGACAATCATTTGATAGAGGTGAGTGCGGAATTCCTGAAGAGCACATTTTAAATGAAATGGGGTATTCATAAGCATTGCTTACTACCCTTAAATATACTGGAATACATAACGAAAAGAAGTTCGACGGTGCACGTCTCAGGAAATCAATTTGAACCACTTAACCCACAAACTTTTCTGGCACATTTTTTTAAAAAAAGCTACACTATAACTTTGGACTAAAAGAACGGATTTGACCGTTTTAGATCCATCAGGACAGCACATTGATTTCAACTGCTTTACTTTACCAAATTCCCACGATCTTACACCAAGCTGCATTGTTCACTGGCACAAGAACTGCTAGAAGTGTCGCCCATAAAAACACTAGGAGAGTTAACTTCAACTTGGTGGCAAAATCGCGCAATAAAACAGTAGGCAGTAGAGAAGAAAATTCTCATAAATTAAAATATTTTTGGATTTGCTGACGACTTGAATGGCCTCCTCAACCGCTTGGGTGGCATGGTGCTCCAATCTGGGTTTTAGGGTTTCCTTTGCGGGCAAAATTAGGGATTTCGGTTTTTGCACAATACCATCAGAGGGAGGTATTTATAGCTCTTACTACTGCGTGTGTTAACTGAATCACGACAAGATGCAAACATGCCTGTCCTCACAGATTGGCGTCGACTCGGGGTAAATCACTCGCTAAGGTGTATTGTTTGCTTTTATTTTAACTTCGATAGAAAGTGAGAATCGATGGATCGAAGTGCATGTCAAATGAAATTTTTCATCGTCCCCTTACCTTGTAAAAGGTGTTTCCGCAACACCTCACACAACTTCTTGTGTCATCCAGCCGTCTCGCAGTCTCGGCGAAAAAACTGTGTATGTACTGGGTCCGAACTGCCGCCTCCATGTCTCCTAATACGTGGTGAGTCTAGGAAAACGGATAACCAAATAAGCCACAGGTATTCGAAGACCAACCTTTAGAAAGCTATGCTCGAACTCTGCTCGCACGTCCTCAAATAACTCCTGCAGTTCCCCGTTGGTTTCAATGTTGCTGGTGTCGATGGTTCCGCCCAGGTTGAGAACCAGTTCCACGTTGCATGTTCCAGCACAAATTAACACGCTCTCAAGCAGTCTTTTGGTACCGTTAAGGTATTTTCCGCCTCCGGCGTTCGTCTTGGAGTAGCGAAGATTGCTGAAGACAAAGAGACGACAGAGCACTTCACCTCTGCCAACCGGAGCATTCGGATTGTCGTCGTAAAAGTTGAGATAGTGTCTGTGAGGGCCCGGACAGGGAAAATTCGAAACATGTCTCTCCATGGGACACTTCGGAAGGACGCTTTCAAAAGGATCGCGACGCTCATTGGCCCACATTTTGGTGCGGAGGCTCTATAAACACCGCAATTTGTCATGTACTTTAGGGCGAAACAGTAAATACTGGGATATTTAATTAATCTGACGGTTTTTTTGGAGGCGCATTGCTGTACCCGGTCAGAGGCAGCAAACAACAGGCGGAAAACTTAAGCGCCAAACGTCTTCCGGGACATCAGTCAAGGTCAGTACGGACTGTTGGCTTTAGGAGTCTTAGTAATTGCATTATAAAGTTCTTTTGTCGACAAAACCTTATATCGAATAGCATCTTTGTCCTAATTATCTTTGCTAGGACTGTTAAAGGATTCACAGACCATAAACTCATCGATTCAACCCAAATGTTATGCACGTTAGTCATAAGTCAAAAGACGGATTCTGGCCAATCCTGGGTTGGGCGGCAGAACGGTTTTAGGATAATGTTTTTACTGGACACTTGCTGCGGCTTCAAACAACTTACAAAACTTGAGCCAAATGGAAAGTTATTAATGACAAATTTCCCTCCTAGTGCTTCTTGCCGAAAGTAGCCTTTAGCAAGATGGTGTATACTGCAAAAACCTCGAAGTTTGTTGCATAAGACACTTAGGATCCTAAGCGGACCTTGAAAGAGGAAAACTAAGCGTAATTTAAATGGTCGCATCCTTCAATTCTCAGCACAAAGTGTAACATTCTTGCCAGTAACATTGGAATCCAGTAGAAGTTGGTTGCCTGCATGAAATAATCGAAATGGCATCGGAGTAAGTCTCAATGCAGTAATAACTACAGACGGACAGCAAACATCTTAGTTCTGTGTTCTCCTTCTTAAGCATATAAGTCGATAGGTTTGCCTATCAGATCAGCTTTAAAAAGAACATTACCATTACAACCGTCCAGGTAGAAAGATGAAGCCTGTGCGCGCGACGAAAACTTCAGATTTGGAGACGCGAAAGTCCAGATCAATCATTACCTCGTCAACCCCTACTTTGTGGTAAATCATATATCTAATCTGTTAAATTCAAAGAACTTTCTGTTTAATTCTCGGCCAAATGTGTACCCCAAATCGAAGGAAGATTTAACAGTTTTCGCTTCTTTAGCCCATTTTACTTAACTATTGCAAAAACCTCCAGCTACGGAGAAGACAATGGCACATACAACTCTTGAGACTATCCACTTACAGTCTGTATGATTAGTCTAAATGGATTTTTTCAGGGATAAAAATAGTCATGGAAATTTTCGTCGTCTTATTGTTCTTGAGACAAGTCAGGGTAAGCTCGGGCCACAAACATCCGGTAGTGATGTCACAGTTGACTACCTTAGACGGCTGACAAATGATCTGTTCTCGCCGTCCCCAGTAGTTCCTCATCGTGCAGAAGTGTCTAGTTTCCTTACTCAGTTAAAATGCTGTGTGATCTTCACAACATAATAACTCGCGTTTTTATAGGCAGTTCAATTTAGCAAACAAATTCCCCACAGTCATCACAATAATGACTCTATCGTCTACGTTCCTTGATACATCCTGTGCCTCCAATAACTATTTATTGTTCTATTCCTCACAACTGACTGTGAGTTATCCTAATGTAATTATGTGGACTTCGGAGACACAATAAAATCCGTCTGCGATAAACAAAAATTTGGAGAACTAGGCCTATTTACTACTATTAACTAGCTGCAAAGGACAGTCCACTTTGATACTATTTCAAAACTTTAAGAGGTAAATTTTAAAATAATAGGTAAGATATACATGTAATCAATGGAAGAGTATACAACCTCACAGTGTACCAGTACTGTATTCATTTATAACAGAAAGACACCCAACTGCAGTGCAGCGCCAGTTTAAGGTCTCGCTAATGGTGTTGGCTTCTAAGCAAGAGTTACTGGTTGCTCGACAATAACCTGACAAATAAGTGTCAGGAAAACGCAATGACTATGCGTCTAAGAGTCTACCGCAAACTGCCAACGAACATGCAAAATGATCCAACTTTCGACTTCATGTTGAGGAACGTTTCTTATATGGCCGTTACCAGACTAACAAATTTCGCATTATGAATCAAGTCAGATCAAGACCGACAGATAAGCTGCCCATAGCTACACCTACGTGCATGCAGTTAATAATGTGACTGCAAAGGATACACGCAAGTGGATTGCTCTGTGATTGACAAAATAGTGGAAGGACACGATAACTCGTCTGGAACACACTCCAAAAAGGGATGCTTAAATCCTGATAATAATACATTTACTCAGGTTGGCTATTTTTGTGGTTAGCAGACCCTTGCCAATATTTACTGCAGATGCAGTCCGCCCAGCAGCCCTTTTGCATGATTGGATCCAGTCGGTCCATGAGATCACTTGTCGCACATAATCCTACAAATCCGAACTGTTATACAGGGTAAGACAAAGGTTAGCACAATGTCACCAGGAAACTGGAAATCTTTATTTTTTAGAAGAAAACGCGCTGTAATATGGCTTTGCGGCAGAAGATGTTTTGTTGACGACTTAAGAAACTTATTCTTACGACAAATTACTAAGCCGCAATGCGCAGCCCACACACCAGACATAAAATTTCAATGAGCTGCTGTTTTCCGAATATTTGGTAGGAAATTCCTATTAGTGGATACGTATCAACTGGTATAATGCAGACTGACGTGATTAGAAAGGATGGAAATTTGAACGGGACCTGGCCCCATCTAGCCCCGTCTGGCCCCCGGGGCCATGTGTTGGCAGAGACTATTCGTCATGAAATGTAGAAAGAGTGTAAGGAGTATGGAAACAAACGAGACCTTCGACATCAATAGGTAATTAGTAATCAAATCGAGTCGTCAAATGTGCTCAACTGCATATTTTTGGTATGATTAATCAAAATCAAAGGCGTGAAAATTCGGGGTTATTTTTAAAAATGAGGGTCTTTTGCGCAACGTAGGCTAATTCTCTTTTATCGTCCACATTTCCACTATAGGCAACAGGATTTGACAAAGGAATTACTTCGAAAAAGCGACAGGCGCAACTCGGATACCGCTCGACCGTTCAATTGGCCCCGAGCTCCAGCTTAGCTTGGTGTTTTCGTGACTGTTTGAAAAAGATCACCGTTTCGATCAATTTGTCCATTGAAACACGGCTAACAATGGACGTTCCAGAAAGAGGTTATTAGTCTTTCGTGAGACTTTGGACTCATAATTTTTTTATTCAATTAACAAGGCAAATTTTACCGACAAGAAAAGTTATTTTAACTTGCCGATAAAGTTTGCTAATTGAGATAATTTTTTACCGGAACCTGCGACAGTTTGAACTCCACCCGATGATAAGAGCTTTTACAGCCCAAAAGTGTGAGTGGTGCTTAGGCGACGGGTAATAAATTAATTTTGCACCGACACTGCCGAAATCCTGACCAGAAAAGCTGGAAAAGAATGGGCAGAATGGGAAAGTTCTGATTGGTGGGCAAGCAAGCGTGCACGCGCGAGTTTATGTACAAACATTTTAATGTGAAAAGAGGAAAAAACAAAGCAACATACGCAATGGTATTACATTTTAGTTTGGTTTAATGGGGGAAAATCTGCCTTAGTTACTGAGCCTCAAATTGCCGACGTAAGACTGGGTGCATACCCTGCCAGCACCAGCCCCCTCTGGCCCCCTCATGGCTATGAGGGGGATATGGCGGGGCAAATCCCCGATGTGGCCCCCTCTGGCCCCCTCATCGAAAAAAATGCGCAGGGGGACGCCTTATAGTTGTCGTTTTTTGCCCCCACCCACGGCCATATTAGACTGTCTGACCGTAATACCGATCCATTAACGTCTAAGTACTCGCGTTATAATCCTGATCACCCTTTTCCTAGAAAGATTTTCCACGGTATCTGTCATATTTTATCCATTGTTACCTTCTAGCGAACCCCATTTCGACAAATATGTCATGTTTCATTCCGGCTCGCCTTCCCAAAGCCAATATCTCCCCCGATCGTTAGCGGACCTTCACGCGTGATTGCGAACCCCCCCAACGAACCATATCGATCAGCACACACTCATACTATAGTATGAGGAAACTGTGCGGCTTGCAATAGTTCAAAGGGAACCACTTAATAACAAACTTTGAACAGGAGTCTCAGGGAGAAGTTTACTCTGTCATTTCTTCCACTCATTATGGATTATAAATAGGTTAATGTTTCTCCAAATCTTTCTGTCGACGATGACATCTCAATATCTTCATGGAGGGCATTCTATTATTTGACCACCTTGACAAAGCAGAAAAACTTCCGCACACCTTATCTTGCCTGATTTAGACGCAATTTTGGTGGGTGACCTCGGAGGTTGGTCGTGACAGTAATTACGGAAAGTCGTCAAAGGCCAGTCGCAGTCCTGTTCCTTCGCAATGTTGGGTGTTCGCACGACATCCCCAAACGGTTCCCTATGACTCACAGAACGGATGCTTAGTGTGTTTTTCGGGTTGCTTAATGAAAGGAGCTTTGATATTGGACGGCCCATAGCCTCTAGTCTCATGTGGTGTGTTCTAAATGCGGCCTCAAAATGGTTCCAAAAATCTTAGAGAATAGGTTTCACCAAACTCTACTTCTCTTGATGGAATGAAATACACACAATGGGCTTTCTTCCTTTCTCGAGCGGGTGGTTTTAAGACGTTTTTCGACAACGCGCCAACTTCCGTTTGAGACTCTGCTTTTTAGAAAACCTCTGCGCCGAGAAAGTAGTTTCTTGTGCTAGCGGGTCTGCCTTGGTTGCCTAGGCGAAACACGGTACATTGCCCAATATTGTACCCCAGAAGTCAACGAGCTTATCATTCTTTCAGCTCATTTAGCTTAGACTGTAGCCCATCGTCATCGATAGGGCTGTGGATTACACTCTAAATTTTCATGGTGTCCTCAAACGCTGCCGTTCGTAATGAATCTTCATTATGTGTAAGGAACACATTTGGGTTGGATACCAGTGTCGCAGCACTCTGATTCTACTATCCCCTGCAGAGGTTATCTAGTTAGTTATGTATTTACGGTATTGTTAATCACTTTCTGTTGCTAGGATTTAGCTCA